GAGGGAGGGAGGGAGGGAGGGAAGGAAGGAAGGGGTAAATAGGTCCCAAGCAAGTCCAAAACCCAGTGGGCAATTCCATCAGATCTTGATGCCTTACCTTCCAGATTCGCTGAAGCAGGGGTTCCACCTTCACAATCTTCTGCTTCAGCAGTCCTGCCACAGACTGGTCTGGGCAGTCCTACCCCACAAAGCTTCAGTGTTAGGCCATGTGGCCTGTTGACACTTCAGGGTCCTCCCCACCTGTTGGAACTGAAGAGGTAGCCTGATGGTCTCTGAATCTATTCAATCATGCTCCCCTTTCCTTGCAGCATAAAGCACATTTGCAGCCCTGCTATCTGGTCTGTAGGATCTAAGAAGTCTGAAAGCCTGCCTTCATCTTGTCTAGTGTTTTCTGTCCCCTTTAGTACCAACTGGCAGTGTTTCTGATGGTTTAATCCCATCTCTATTTCTGGCTTCTGCTGAGATGGCTGATTAAACCCGTGAGTCACACCCATGATCTCTTTATCAAATGGCCCTTCAGCCACAGCTGAACAAGCTTTCTCATTTTGCAATGTGGATAGACAGAATTTTCCAAATCTCCAAGTTCTTTTCCTTTTTGCTTAACAATTGTTTCTTCAATTCATCCCTCTCCTCTCACATTTTACTATAAACAGTGAGGTGGACGCAGGCTGCACCTTTAATACTGTGCCTACAATCTCTGCTGAATACCCAGTTTCATTGCTCCCAAGTTCTCTCTTCCACAAAACAGTGGAACACAGTTCAGACAAGGCTGCTGCCACTTTACAATGAGAATTGCCTTTCTTCCTGTTTCCATTTCTGTCTGAGAACTCATCAGAATGGCCTTTGATGTCTGTATTCTAGCATGAACCTTAAAACCCTCCCAGCCTCCACCCGTTACCCAGTTAACAAAGCTACTTCCACATGTTTAGATATTTGGTATAGCAGCGCCCACATCTGCCTTGGTCTTGTTGGGCTGTCATACCACAGACTGGGGGTCTCAAATAACAGACATGTATTTCTCACAGCTCTGGAGGATGGAAGTCTTTGAGAGCAAGGTACCAGCCGATTTGGTTTTGGTGTGTTCCTGGCTTGCACATAGCCACCCTCCTACTGTGCCTTCACAGCCCTTCCTCCGTGCATATGTGTAGAGAAAGGAGAGATTGAGCTCTCTTTTCTTAGAGGACACCAACCCTCTCAGATTGGAACGTCACAGTTATAAACTTTTAAAATCTTAATTACTTTCTAAAAGCCCCATCTCTAAATACAGTCACAGTAGGGGAAGGGGGAACCCAAGTCAGTACATAGCAATTTTTTTCTTGTTCTGGTTGGGTGTTTTTTATTGTTCTATCTCCAAGTTCACGGGTTCTTTCCTCTGTCCCTTCCATTCTGCTCATGAACCCATCACTGGCTTTTGTTATTGTATTTTTCAGTCCCATTTGATCCTCTGTTCGTTTCTTTGCCGAGACTTTCTGTTTTTAAATTTGTGTCAGGCATGTTTGTACTTGCTTACTGGGATACTTCTATGGTAGCTGTTTTAATCTAACAGGTCATTCTAACATCTGGATCATCTCAGTGCTGGCATCTGTGGGTTGTCTTCTCATTCGAGATGAGTGATTTTCAGTTGAAATCCGTACATTTTGGGACATTATGTTAGAAGACTATACCGTTTGAATCTTCTATTTGGACTGGCTTCTACTTGGCCTCTAGTTGGTGTTGGAAGTCCAGGTTCATCATTGGCCTCTGTTCGGGCAGGAGTAGGAGTTACAGCTCCCCACTAAGGCTCCACTGATAGCACCTAGCTGGGAGGAGCAGAAGTGTCTCATTACTGCTCCCCACACAGCCTCTACCATGAGGTAGGGTTGGGTGGGGAGTGACCTCATGACTTGCTGAGAGTCCTGACCCTGCACTGCCCAAACCAGTAAAGACGGGGAGATGTCTGCTCTCTGGGTAGGGTTAGAAGCCTGGTCTCCCCACATGGTTTCCATTGATATGCTGGAGTGGGATGAGAGAGGGGTTTTTTGGTGGTTTGTTTTTTTTTATTCTCTCTCCTCACTTGACCTTCTTTGACTCTACCCCAGGGTGGGGGTTACAGCCTGGTGAGGGTGGAAGTGTAGGCATCCCACTTTGCCTTTGTTGGTGTGGATAGTGCTGAAGTTTTCTCCCATGATCTTTGGCTAGGGGAGGGTGGTTATTGTCTAAAAATTTTGTCTTGTGAGTCTACTCCTTTCTTAGTCCTTTGGGTGAAAAGAGAAGACTTTTCTTGGACCTTTTTTGGTCTGTATCTGTGGCATTTCTGGGTTGCCAGCTTCCTGATGGGGCAAGAGGAAAACTCAAGGGACTCCGTGCTGTCATTCTTCAGGTCCCTGGCCCCAGTAGCTTGTATCCTCAGAACTTCTTACACTGTTTTATATATGGTGCCCAGGGTTTTAGCTATACGTACTTAGAGGAAGAGGGGAGAGTACTCCTCCCTTTTCCCATGATGTCCTTTCTTTTGACATGGAAGTGATATGTCAAGTTGTGTCAGAGCTTGTGGTGTACCTAGGTTGTTTGTAGCCAGTCAGGATTGACTACCAAGAGGGAGGCTCACTTGTTCCCCAGAGAGAAGCTGCGAAGTTGGTAGATAGAAACCACCAGGCTTCAAGCTTCATCCAGCTGTGAAGAAACTATAGTTTTTAAGTGGGGAAAACACCAGTGTTATTTATTTTATTATTTTTAATCTCACTTGAGGGCATTTTTCTAATAAAAAAAATTTTTTTAGAGGGAGTGGAAGGGAAGGGGAGAGACAAGGAAAGAAACATTAATATGAGAGAGATATATTAATTGGTTGCCTCCCACATGCCTGCAACGAGGTATGTGCCCTTGACTGGAATTGAACCTGGGACCCTTCAGTCCATGGGCCAATGCGCTATCCACTGAGCCAAACCAGCAAGGATACCAGTGTTATTTTTTTAATCCTCACCCCAGGATATGCTTATTGATTTTAGAGAGAGGGGAAGGAAGATTAAAAGAAACATCGATGTGAGAGAGGGCACTGCTTGGTTGCCTTCCATACATGCCCTGACTTCAGATCAGACCTGCAACCTAGGTTGGTTCCCTGACTGGGAATTGAACCCACTACCTTTCAATCTACTGGACGACACTCCAACCAACAGCCACATGGGCCAGGGCAGCCAGTGTTTAATTGTAGATTACAAGTTTGAGAAGGAAAGATAGATATGACTAAGAATATAAACTATGGAATTAAACATTTTTATTTGTCTCTGTTCCAAGAGCATGTGGGAACCACTGGAGAACTGAATTCTGAATTTTGTTTTTTTAAAAATATGTATTATCTATAGTTAGACATCTGTCATTTTCTTAAACTTTTTAAAAAATATATATTTTATTGATTTTTTACAGAGGAAGGGAGAGGAAGAAGGATACAGAGTTAGAAACATTGATGAGAGAGAAACATTGATCAGCTGTCTCCTGCACACTCCCTAATGGGGATGTGCTCACAACCAAGGTACATGCCCTTGACCAGAATTGAGCCTGGGACCCTTCAGTTTGCAGGCCGACGCTCTATCCACTGAGCCAAACTGGTTAGGGCGATATCTGTCATTTTTAATTTGACATATAACACAGGACACCAGAGAATCAACATAATAAAAAATGAAGATAACTGGGATTTGGGACATCACTTTTTAAAAATGGGTTTCTTCATTTATGTTTTAAAATATGATACTTCTTGAGAGTGGCTAGATTAGATAATAGATACAAAGTGATTTGTAAGCATCAAGTGCTAAATAACTATTATGTATTGTTTATAGAGTCCTTTATGTGTCCTGTCCATCATGTATGCTTTCTGCTGATATAGCCCAATAAAAATGACTACAAATATAATGTAATGTTTCTTTTTATCTTTTGAAAAATAATTTTTCTTAAATACCGGTTAAATCTGCATTTTTTGAGAAGATCATATGGTTTTCTTTAACCTGTTAATATAGTAAATTGCATCAAGGATTTTCTAGTTATTTCTTTTTTTAAAATTAAATTTATTGGGGTAACTGATTAATAAGATCATGTAGGTTTCAAGTATACATTTCTATTATGACCTGTGTATTGCATTGTGTGCCCATCATCCACACTCAAATTATTTTCTGTCACCATATATTTGGCCCCCTTTACCTTTTACCCTTTATTCTCCCTTCAAGGATTTCCTAATGTTAAAGAATACTTGCATTCCTGGGATTTACCCAATTTAGTGATTGCCTCATCCTAGAAAAGTTTATGTTCCTTGAATACTTTAGTTGCAGTTACCTGGTAAACTGAGTTATTGTGTGATGTGAGTTTTGCTTGATTTTAGAGGTATTCAGATTTCCTATTCTTGAAACAAATTTTAAAGTTAGGTTTTTTAAAAAATATCTTTTTTATTGCTGTTCAAAATATGTTTACTTTCTTTAAAACCCCTGTTTTATCTGTAGCAATTTTTCCTTGCACATTATAGGGTTAAAAACTTTTCATTGTGTTGGTGGTTCATTTTTTTATGGTAATCATCTATCTTACCTTAATCTTTAGTAATCTGATAATTTACATTATGTAGAGAAAATTTACCATTAGGCTATGTGAAGGGGTCATCTGTTGGTTAATCTATTATGAAAG